CTTACTAATCTATATCCAAAAGTAATCTGAACATTTCACTGGGATTTCTTGGGGAAACTGAATTGAGGGAAAATTACCATGTATTTTCATTAGCTCATTCTGAGTGCAAAACACATCAAACAGGTGGTATTTGAAAAATATTGAACAGATAACTAAATACAAATGAGTAAGGAAAGTAAATTGTGGTATCTGCCACGCCTCACCAAAATATTTTGCCAATTTAAATTTAAATATACTTGATCATGTCTGTGCCTATGGCAGGAGCCACTTAAGACTTCTTTCGGCAGAAAGTCTGCTAGAAAATTCTGTTTAAAAAGAAAAAATATATATAGTGTATTCATTTTAAATACTTGTCCCAAAATATTTCTAAAAGGTCAGAAATGGGTATCACAGAGGAATCTAACTCCACTATTGTGGAAATGCTAAACTTCTTCTTAAACAGAAGCTCAGTCTTTATTAAACTTCTGCCTGTTCACGCTACTCAATTTTATTGCTCTTACTTTCTTACATAAAGATTGTATTTTTAACTGGTGTACCTCAGTGTTAATACCATCTTATATTCAGTTTTTTTATAACTTTGATCTTTCTTTACATGACATTATTTCTCTGGAATGGTTATAGTTTTATCAAAATGACTGTTTAATCATTGGTGTTTAGTTCATTATTTTCATATCACTGTGATGACTCCTCAGGGAAGCTGACACCTGTCAGATGTGCACTTTTCTAAAGTGCGGTTGTGTAATATTGCACGCATTAATTTTTAAAGCGGGACAGTAGTGTTTAATGTCAGTGTTTTCTGCTTTATAAGCACAAGGCTTCATCTAAAGTTTCTAATTCATCATACCTAGTTTTGAGCTACTGTAATATTACAGAAAGTTTGGAAATGATCAAGTATAAAGCAAAAATCATCCAGTAGAGTAATTATTTATAATAACTCTTCCAGTAATGTAGAGCACATACCCTATATTGCCCTTTTTAAAAGATATTTCATTTACTTTACCTCCAATTTAAATTTTAACCAGAAGACTTAAGGAACATTTTCCAACGAACTGTTCTCACACCACCCAGGTGGTTCTACAGTTAAATTTTGTGCTCAGGATGTGGCTAAAGGAAGTGGCTTGCTCTCACAGAAATAGGAATGTCAACAGAGCCCTTGAGCATTGCTGTTGAGGCACCTGGGAGCAGTTCTGCTTGCATGCAATACTGCCTCAAGCAGTAAAAACCACCACAAGAACTTCCTCTGAGAAGGCTACATCAAATGTTCTCAGCAAAAGGTTTAAATTCTAAATGCCTGGTCTGCTAACATGAAATAAGTCATAATGAAAATACAGAGAACTAATTTGGCTTTTTGCATAAGAAGCAAGAAGAGAGTAACAGGCTTGTTTCTTCATTGTACCTGTACTTATGGTTAATAATATCATAACAAATCCAAATTCTGTAGTATTTAACAGCAAAGCTGTAGTACAAAAAGGACACGACCCCAAAATACTATTCCGCATATTTGAAGTTTGTATAATGAAAAACTGATAGGTAAAGGCTTATCCATTCATGGGATTCACACAACCCTTCAGTGAGCATCACAGGCACCTGCTTCTTCCCCCTGGCAAGGACTGGCTCCTGAGGCAGTCTGTAGAGGGTCAGATAGAGGGGTGTCACTGCTTTTCTATCTATACTTAGGTTTCTGGATGTGAAAGATGTGGTCCTCTGAATTTCTTGTTCTCAGGAACATACGAAGAGGGAAAGAAGATCAGTGATGAAGTTTTCCCTTCTGATACACCACTAGATCTCAAAGAAGTTATCTCATTTTATTTCTTTCATTAGGCACACTCAGCTGGAGTACTTGGTAATCTTCTATTCTGTGACTTATACTCGATTAAGATGGGACATTCACTCTTATAATGATTGAGGTGAAATTATGATATTTATGTGAAGACAATCAAACCAAGAAAAAACTAGTTTTTAATTAAAAAAATAAAACCAGCCTTAGCTTCTAACAATAGCACTTTTAGAAACTGACACTGTCTTTTAAAGAGGTTTGAACTTATAAATGCCTTGCCACATTCAAAAACGGGGCCTGGATTTCTAATTGACTCAAATACACTAGGAAATTGTACACAGGGTTAAGCAGCATATCTAAATTTTTTTTTGTAATCTACATGCTTCTCAAAACTATTTTAAGATACACAACCCTTGGGTTTTGACTGAATATTTTATGTACAGCATTGTTGTGAGCCCATTAATCATAATTTTTGTGCTATTGCTCCCACCTGGAAAAAATGAGTCTGTAATTGAAAAGGCAAATTTAGCATTTATATTGGCAATAACACAGTTTCATTGCCGTTCTCCCCAACAGGAATTTGAACATTGTGGTGAACTATATCTCATTGATAAGTGAATGGAAGGGAAATAAAGCTTTCTCATTACCAGGCCCCCATGAGCTAAGTCATTTGTTTGTTGAGCAGAGCCTTCTATTGTGTTATAACAATTACTTTTACTCCCAGATATGATAACTCTTTGAAGCAGTACCTGGGAGATGCATGTGATCTACATTAGCAGAGAAGTAACACAGTGTTGGCTGCTAAAATAATCTCATTTGCTGTGCACCTGATATTTCTTTGTTGTGCAGCTTTTTTCTTCTAATAGTGAAAGCCATAGACTTCAATTCCGGTAATTTAACTCAGCAGACTAAATTACTTAAATCCAAGACAGAGTTTGAAGTTATAAATTTTTTTTTTAGAAACTTATGTTGAAAACATAATGCTGTGCTTCAGCATTTTTTACCTAGCTAGAGATTAGACCAGAGTTTGAATAGAGGCTTGTTATGCTGGCAGGTAGGTATGTATGTCATTCTAGGATAGCTTTTCAGAGAAACCATTTTCTGTAAGTTCCTGAATCACACTGCAATTAGAAGAAGTGCTACAGCAAGACAGTGAAATAGTCTTCATTTATCATAAATTACAGCTAGCATTTAGATGTAAGACACATGCAATACAAGATGGATGGATCATTCCAAGAAATTATTAATATCAAAGTCAACAAAATGACAGACTGCCACAAAGTTGTTTTGATACTTTTCAGTACTGTATGTGCAGAGTAAATCTGTATGTCCACTTAAATTAGCAAAAGAATCTGATCTGTACCTTGAGTTACGGGCTTAGGGAAGTATTTTCTGAAGCAACATGGACTTTAAAGTATCTTGGTGGCTAGGACTGTGCTCGAGTTATTTTTTTCTTTGACCAATTTGTATTTGTCATTGGTAAAACCCCTTATTGTTACATGAAGTAACAGTTGCTACATACAGTTGTACCAGGATGCCCAGGTATTTCATGAATTGAGAGTCAAGAATAACACACATAGCAGTAGAATGAAATATAAAAACCAAATATAGCTTTACAGCTTCTGTTATTCAATATATTCATATTTAAACAAAGCCCTCATGTAGATTCCAGTATGAATCTCTTTTGCCAAGCCATCCTCTGGCTTTATTCATCATACAGGTAAAAGTAGGCCCCTAACTTCAGACACTGATCAATATGCCAATACGTTTGATGAAAGAGTCTTGTGCCCTGAATACTAAATAAAACAATCCTGACAGAGAAGGGAACAAAAGATTATACTGCTGGACACCACCATGATTCTAAAGAAATTAATCCCCCCCCACTCTGGAGAAAATGGATAAAAAAGGGGAAAATCTGTTATGCACACAGTGCTCACCTTTGATATCTTTATGTGCTCACAGGAGCAAAGGCAGGAAATAGTCTCCCATAGTCATGGTTACCTGGTCTGCAGAACAGCACTGTTTCAAAGCATGGAAAAATAGGCCACTCCGATAAGTAACCTGAGAGCTCTGGCCTCTTCCATATCCACTTGAGTTGCTTCAGGCAACCAAGCGCTTTTTTATTTACTCATGGCCACTTAACTGACTTCTCTGCATGCATCTGGGCAGGTAGCCAATTCCTCTGCATGGGTTGCTATCTAGTTCCTGCCTCATTTTCCTAGAGACTGAAGATACAAAGGACATACTGAAATACTGTTCATATCACAGTATTCAAACTGTGTCGTTTGTTGGGCATCACTAGGACTCATCTCCACCAGATGCCAGTTTTATACATCTAGGTAATGTAGTTGCACACATGACAGAGAATTATTTTTTTTTTGGGGGGGGGGGAGGGAGGGTTGGGGTGAGCTGTTTTTTTTCCTTTTGCTGTTGTTGTTTTTTTTTGGATTTTTAAGAGCTTCCAACAAGCCTGCTTCCTTTATGAATGCTTTCTGATGGCACATCACATCCTGAAAACAGACACATATCCCAGAAACCTGTGTAGCCCGTTTTCTTATTTGTGCCTCAGAGGCCACTGCATGAAGCCATGCATCAGTTTTCCTTGCCAATTTTACAGCCCTGCTGGGGAAGGCTCACCACTATGCTCATAGGCACCTTTCAGTGCCGAGGCTCAGCAACTACCCTGACAATGAGGGTATCTACAGCCTAATCCCCTTCTTTGGCACTGTCAGGATGAGCAACTCTTTTCAGCCTTCTCACTTTTTTATATTCCATGCAAGCCAACCATTTTGACCCTCCAGTTTCACTTATAATCCTGATCACTATTAGAGGAGGAAATATTCCACATCCCAGATGGCAAAGGGTCTGAGCATCACACAGCACTTGTGTGTGATGCAACTGTGGCAAGTAGGAAAGAAATTAACAACTCCATGGAAGAAAATACAAGTTCATCCTAATGCTACCTTGTGTCACCTTATGCTGCATGCTCCAGACACCAACTGCTCTCAGTTAGGTACCAATGTAGTATAATGAACAAGAACAGGCAGCCTGACAGCTGCAGAAGCTCAGGAGGTGATCTGAATCTGGGTTGAAATGAAGGAACAGAATTACCAGTCTGCATCATCCAATGCAGCATGAACTGATACCACATTGCAGACAATGCCTTGACTTACATCACCCTCAAGTCTGAAAGTGGTCTAGGTTATACTTAGCTTCTACTTACTGTCTCTAATCTTATTTGTTTTACTTTCTTCAATAATACTATTTCTCAACAGGAAAAGCAGGGAATAGCTACTGCATGTTCATGATGTTCCAAGCAGTCCTTTAAAGTCCTCTAAAAAAAAAAAAAGAAATAATTCAAGAAGTGTTTCATTCCACTGAATTAGGATATATGATGCAAAACATTGATTCAGGAAACCAATTTTCAGAAATCATTTTCTCTTTGCTTTTTTAGCATTTATCGATACTTAAATTTAAAACTTCACCTTTTCTTTACTATTTCTATTTCAGAATCATGGTACAGTTTTATTCCTTATTGTGAAAGACCTTAAGAATTATTTTAAAGTAAATATTGCAGCACATATTCTTCACTCACATGTCAATATTCAACTAAAGCTGTATTACAAAACCATTTTTATTTCTATTGCAGGTTTCTCATACAGTACCCTGCAGAGCTGACTCACCTGCAGAGAAATCCCCTGAATCATTTCTGCTTACTTTACACTACAGTTTTTCAGTACTTTGGGGAGCAGTTAGCTACTGGCTTTTATTTCACTCCAATTTCCTCCAAATCAAAGTGACATAGCAAAGCTGCTAGAAATGTAAGCCATGCAATCAGTTGCTTTGCCTAATAAAAACATTCCTAATTATCACATTATGTCATTTCTAGTACCTTTTAGATGACCAATGTTTTGGACAAATTTTATTATGAAAGATCCTAACTGAAATCTCTTCAGAAGAAGAATTTTCTTGTTTGTATTAGATGTCTAGTAATACATTTCGCACCTGACATAGGTTTGTATAAATTTTACACCATATGTTTAGCAATGTAGTAAAAAAGCTGCATTCAGATATTTTTAAGGAATAACCCACCCTCAGTGGAAAAAATTAAAAATCACTGGTTACTTGTCAGCATTGGGAACAGTAATGTGAATTCTCTCTCACACACACACTCAACCCTGTGCTTGTAATACTATTTTTTTTCCTCCCTTACTACTTGATAAGCTGACAGCAACTGGCTGTTGTTCCAAACTCTTATTTCCCTGACAGCTTTCTTGTCTGGTTACAAGACCAGAAGAATTGGTTTCCAGCTGAACTAAGGACTAGGCTGGGAAGCCCCCAGTCATACTGGTTCTACCTAACTCTTGAGATAGTTCCTTGTGATAGAAGCTGAACCTCCATTAACATAGGTGCAATAGCTTCAAACAGCCAAATACCTTGGAAATTCAATTCAGTAGGAAATTCATTTCTGCTTTTGTCAGAAAAGGCAGGACAATGGGGTCAGGACTGATGGAAACATGAAAGATAACTTGAAACTTGACTTCAAGACTTCCTATTCCATTCAAACTTGAGTTTCCCTACTGGAGTAGCCAGTTAACAGATACCAAAGTGGAACCCATCACTTTCTCAGAATTTAGACAGCAAGAATGAACAGGGAACGCATAACTGTCCATGTGAACCAAATGCCACTCTGGACTCCTGTTCAATAAAGTGTTCTACAATTGCAGTTTTAGAAATTATTTAGGAATTGAAAGAAAACCAGGATGTAGGATATGAAGCAGTCTTCCTCACTTCCCTTCCCTCTCCTTTTGCTCAAAAAGCTGAAATTTGAAATAGGTTTTGTGGAATGAATGTTTGACCAAAATATAAAAAGCTTCCAGTTTCAGTTTAACATCTGTTGCTTCCTTTGAAAAATATTGGGAGTTGTCAAGGGTTTTATTTTTTTTAATTGAGCAGTTTATTTTTTTTAAATTGCTATTGCTTTATGATATTGGTATAATTTAACACATTAGGATGGTATAATGACCAGACACTGCACTGCTGCATCACTGAAGAATAGGACACAGCTGCCTGTGCTTTGTGCAAGCAAAGCATTGAAAATAATAGCCTTGTGATGAAAGCACATTGAGCTGTTAATCACTTTCTAACATTCTGTGCACAGAAATATTCTTGAGATATCTGAAATTAGACACAAGAGGCAAAAAAGGCACCATTTTTGAGTAGCCATGTGACAACTACAGCCATCTAACTATGTATGTGTAGAAATTGCTCTACTTGAATCCACAGTAGAAAAAATACCTAGTCTTTCCCTAGTTAACATATCTGTCAAACCCATAATTTTCATTCCAGAAGAGCAAGTCCCAAAGAGTACAGAAGATGATGATTTAATTGTGCCAGTATATAAATGATGTGAATTACTTGGATGACTGCAGACACTGGGGGAAGTACAAAAGTATAAAATGAGATATGTAGCCCAGAAGAGACAAGTAAAGAAAAAATAAATAAGTAAAAGGGTCTGAACAGATTCAGAGACAAGAAGGTACTTTCTCTTTGTAGCTCTACTGTGAAACATTTCAAACATGAAATCTTTTCAAGACCATTTAACATTTTTTAGGAAAGTTAAAGCAGCATTCGTCTTACACTGATCAGTCTCTTGTGTTCATTTAAAGAAAATGGTCTGGACAGAAAGGTAAAAATAAAGCTTTCTGTAAAGGACAAGCATTCATTAGCATACACCTGTTTATTGGAATAATTTGGAGACTTAAGGTAGAGAACATTAGAAATGCCCTGCTGGATCGGATCAATGGTCCATCTTACCCAGTATTTGCTCTTCAGCAGCAGCACCAGCAGATGCTATTGACTTGAAAGCAGCAAGCCTGAGTACTGTTGTCTATCCCCTCCACACCTTCCTAGCACCCAGAGGACGGCTTTGGGTTTGTTTGTTTCTTAAGTGAAGCTTGCTAGAGGGTACCCTCCCTGCTTACTCCCATCAGTTTAGGAACCTACTGCAAGCAAATTATCTATCCCAATTTCAACTCTCCCTTCCGCAGCTTGCTGGTACAACCTGCCTCCTTATCCTTGGATCACATGAAGTTTCCAAATCTCACTGCTGGACGAGGGCAGTACTTTCTCTAAGCCATACCAAATTGATCTGATAGTTTCCTCAAGTGGCCCCTGGTTGTAGTGCTGTGGGACTTGGTTAATATCACTTCAACAATCACCACTGTCCTTGTGGTTTTCAAGCTCAAGCCGCATGGCCATTCTTCAGGCCTCTCCACTCCAAACTGAACACTCTTGCCCTTTTCTCATAACATAGCTGTTTCAAGCTCTTACTAACCTGCTTTACCTCTCCCACATCCTTCTTTCAGTCACAGACAACACATGCTAGCAGACTTAGAACTTGGATGAGAGTCAGCAGACAGGCAGTATGTTTGCAGAACAGTAGCAAGCTGGGATGAAGTGATACAGTGCTCCTTGAAGCACACTACATCACATCCCTTTCAAACACCAAGACTGCCAAGAGTAAAGGAAGAGGAACTTCTGTTTAAAAAAAAAAAAAAAAAGAAAAGAAAAAAAGCATAATTTCCTATTCTATTATATAAAACAAAATATAGGGCTGTACAGGCTCCCCATCCTTTCCCAATGAGCTATAAATGCTAGACTTGAACACATCAGGTATCTGTGTGCATTGTGCTTTGCTATTTCATGACTCAAAAGTTTTAATCCTGTTTCGATCCTTAAAGTGTGATGAACTGAAGGGGTGGGGTGGGGGTGTGGTGGATAAAAATGTCTCAAAGCCTTGCATTTCCAAACTTGTTTTGACTATGGGGTGAACTCCAACTCAACTTTGCAACTTGCTGTCACACTCTCATGATGCATTTCCTATAGTAAGTCAGAAGATTAATCTCATGTATGTATTTTCTCATAACAAACTCTCAGCTTGCTATCATCCCTGACTTCCAAGGTTAGTAAGACAGATTCATTAGAGGCACAAAAGTCAATTTTCAAGTATGGCATCTTCTCTGGTAACACATTTCACATCATAGCTTGCCCTTTTTTGTGGTAGGTTCTAAAGAGTATAATAAAGTAATATTAACTTTTCAAAAAAAATAAATTGTCTAGCACACAATCATGTCCAAATTATTCAAAGGCATTTGTAAAACACAGTTTGAAATTCATGCTGTGTTACTCAGTCACCCAGCTTATACATACAGGAGTAATGAATTTATCACTCAACTTGCATGTTAACTACTTCAACACAGATCAAAGTATACGTCTGACTTTCACCTAACATTTTTAGGTTGAGCTGTAAGCCTCAAGCTTCTAACCAATTTAAGAGGAAGGTGATTTGCAAAACTAGCCACCAGAGCCCTACTTGTAAACTTTTATAGTGTGCATATAATTAAAAAGTTGCTTCCAGCTTTGAGCATTCATGCTTCAAAAATGTGTTTTCCACACCTTTTATTACAAAAAAAAAAAAAATAAAAAATTAAGCATTTTGGAACAAAGGTTATTACAGTCAAATTAAGACAAGCCTTCAACTCAAAGTCCACTGGGTGTATTGTAATAATTCTGAAGTATAATTTGAATGTGGTTTTCTTGAAGAACTTAAGTCTTAATTTGAAGTAGTTAATTTTCCATCTTGAATGCCACAAAACAAAAATGATTTTAAGCTAACATGAGGAAGGAATAATCAATCTTTGGGGTTTTTTTTATCAAATTTGGAAGTTTGGTCAGACTCTCCACAGGCTTTCTGAACAGCTATCAGTTATGTGATAATCAGCTTACTTTTACATTACTGTTGGCTGTAACTGTCACCCAGAGACAACTATCAAGCTCCACTTTTTAGAGCTATCTAATGACTGTGTTTCATTCAAAGTAGAGCGCACAAGAGAACTGTAAAAATACACAAATAATCAAAATGCATTTAGGCTTTGCACATTTTTGGTTGATAGAATATTTCAGAAGTTTCTTGAAGTGACAATAAGCACAAAACGACAACTTGAGTCACCTTCTTAAAAGGCAAGTGACCAAAGATCACTCTTCTAATTCTCTTTTGTTTTGTATTTTATCTTTAATAGATTTAAAGTCATCTTCATTCTTCTAGGGGTGAAGGGGACAAGGACAGACTCAAAAGACACATCACTTGGAAGCAGCAAGAAATAACTCCTCCCAAGATTAATACAACTCAGAGCAATTACCTCCAGAGAATACACTGAGGGTATTTGAAATTTCAACCCCTGATCACAGCTTGTTTCTATGTCAAAACAGGTCCCACAGTTGGGTTTTCCTCTGAAATATGGCTGTGAATAAATGTCATACTTGTCATGGTTGAAGTGATTATTGTATGTATGGGTCAAGCTCTGTTTGCTACTAGAAACAATGAATGATATATAAGTAAATAGACAACACTGCTAAAAGCCTTGTTTTGGTTCTACTCTGTATTCAGTGGGGATAGTGCAGAGCATCACCATCCCTAGTTGCACACCTTTGCAACTAGGTACACTGATGCATTTTTGTGCGCTTTTTTTACAGTTAGCTGGTTATGACATGAGCATGAACTTACACAACAAATAAAGTGAAGGGTTTGCCTGAGCAAGTTACAAAACACAGGACACCAGAGAAAGACAACTCTAAATGAAAAATTTCTTTTTGCTAATAAAAATACTAAAGTGTTTTCAGACAAAACCTGAGCAAGCCAGTTTCCAACAGACTTCCCAGATTTTCCCTTCTTTTTTTCACCTCAAATCATTTAAGCCACAGTTTCAAATCAGACACATTTTCTTTATGCATCGTTAATAAATCACAAGTTATGCCTTCTTTAAAAAGTTTGCTTAGGCAGTAAGAAAGACTATCTAACTGCTTTGCGCAGACTGCTGTGCTTTGTGTCAAACAGAATACAGAAGATTGCACCTCTGACCGTAGCTGACCATATGAAGCTTGAGGAGCCTTTGTGAGAGAAAAATATGGTTCAAAATCCAATTTCTGCCAAATAGGTCAAGCACCTGCAGCATGAGCCGAGACCAAGCAGCTTCTGAGCAGCAAGGAAACAGAGTTATATCTTAGAGGTGATGGAGAAGACATTTTCCTAGAGACCCAAGATGTGGTTTGGTCTGGGTTTTGGGGGGAAGAGCTTGTTGTTTCTTTTTTTAATTCCCAGATATACCACAAGTCTGAGAAAGATGATCCATCCTGCAAATCTCCCGACACAGAAACAAAAGGTATGAAGGCCACACCTCCAGCCTTACAGAACTGAAGTCTTCTACGTCAAAAACTACATGAGTGCTGTAACAGGTGATGCAGTGTCTGATCCAAAACTTAAAAAATAACACCTACAAGCCTATGAGGCAAGGGTAAAATTACCCTGGCATTTCTTAGTTTCTGTATTTCTGTTGTTGTTTACTATTACATAAGAAAACCATCGCCTTTTTTTGACTGCTAAACACTCACCATTGCTCAGGTTAGGTTTCAGCATACTTGAAGTTGAAAGATAATTAAACTTATCAAAATTCACAGAGTTTAATGAAAAATCTGCACGGTAACTCCATGGTTGGTGGGGAAAGGAAGAGGGTTAAGTATCTGATGGAACAAAAGACAGTGACAGCAATACAGCACTCATGGCACTCCTAACATCCACATCTGCTTCCCAGAATATTTTAAGGCTATATTTTACCAGTATCATGGAGAAACACATACTTTGTGTATCAGCAATTATAGATTCCCTAAACTACAGTTCGTTTTCATTGCAGCTGGGTGGTTTTATGGCACGATTTGGGTTTGCACACACTTTTTTTTTTTTGCTTTTCGAATTACCAAGCTATCAGCCAGCTGTGAAAATTGCTTCTGGAATTCACCAGAATGCAGGTTTTAAATTAAAAACTTCATGATCACCAGCATAGTCAGGGCCCATTAGCGGGGGGCAAGAACTGTTCTAACAAATAGCAAGCCTGTCAGGCAAGGATTAGTGAGGTTGTGTCTATGAACATGGACCCTCAGAAAGCAGTCACTAAAGGCACAGGCCCAATACCAACTGAAATCTTCAAACAGCATTCAGATGAGTAACAGCATTTCCATCCCAACCCCTGCTTTATAAAAATGTCTTCCTCCAGAAGGATTGGGGGGCAGAAACAAAGAAGTATTAAATGTCAATTTTAAGGTATAGACAAGCATTGAAAAAGAGAAGACAGGGTCAGTGTTTTGGAGGAATCCAAATTTCAGCTTTATTTCTCCCCCCCCTAAAGATAAAACTATGAGAAATAAAGCCAGTATTGCATAGCACAAAGGGAGAACCTCTGTGTTCTTGCACAAAAGCAAGAATTTCAACAAAAGCAATTTAAAAAAAAATCCATTTTTTCATTAATATGTAGCAAGCTCAGGTACTTTAAGTCCAATATTTAATACATTCTAAATCAAATTTAGTGAAAGCTCAACTCCATTTGAAAGAATGCTATTTATGAAAACTATGGGTTACACAGGCTCATGCTGTTTGAACAAAACTCTTACACTCCTGCACTTGGAGCAAGGGGTTCAGTTTTTCTACTGAAAACTTGTTTTGGAGGAATGGGGGTTTTTAAGTCCTTTTTTAAATAAAGCTACTTAATCTTTACACTATCAAGTAAGTGTTGCTTTCCAACCACATAGTATAACAGTAGCACAGCATTTAAAATAAGCAGCTACAAAGTAAAATCATTTGCTATGAAACATCATGAGGATTTCCCTGCAAAAGTTGGTGGGGTGGAATGGTGGACACTACAACGAGACACAATGACAAAAATAAACCCAACAAAAAGCTCACCACCAAAATCAAAAGGTAAAGCATAATTTTCCAATCATACCTGGACCGTGAGCCCCGATCTCCCACACAGGCCCCAGGATGGCCCCGATCAGGCCAAGCCCCCCTCATCCTCCGGAGCACCCACGCCACACCCTGTCGGCCCCGGAGGGAGCGGGAGTGGAGCAGAGCAGGGGTGTGCCCTCAGGGAGCCCCTGCTCATGCCCCTGCCCAGCGAAGGTGCAGAAAAGTCTTGTCAGGACCCTCTGGGCTCTGGACGGGCTCATGCCACACACAGTGCTGCAAGTCATGCTGAAGACCTTCCTAATGGGTTATGCTTCTTCTCGTGCCATTTTTTTCACTCTTAGAGACATGAGAGAAGGAGCAGGCACAGCCCCAGACTCCTACTTTTGTAAGTTAGGATGACTACACAATCACTGCTATCCTCTAGTATCCTGAAAATTCTTTTAATAGAAAATAACTAAATACTGTGAATTGGGTAGGTACATATATTAATTACAGGAGAAATGTAAACATACACCTGCTAAATATACACTGGCCTGAAAACAGAGCATTAGAAGGAGACATACCTCATCAGCACCTCACAGGTTGCAGGCTCAAGACGTGTTTCCCCTCAGCCTATGTCACCATGTTGTTGGCAGCTTCCTACAACCATGTATCTAGAGAACAAAAACAAAACCAAACAAACTCCAGCCAACACACAACTATAACTTCAAATATTTCCTCTCCCCCTAGGGCCATGTGGCACTAATAAACCCAGATGGGACTGGGCAAAACATCCTCACCTGTGGTTTCCTTCACACCCCATAGACCCAAGAACTCTACTTAACCTCCACCAGGAAGCTTCACTTCTGCATCAGATTATTGGATTCTGGCTGTTATAGCTTCTATCTTGTTATCGAACATCTTGATCCTGTATTAGGTGTTGATTTGTTGTTGTCATCTCTATTTGGTGATTGACAGACCTGACCTTGACATGTGCTTTGATTTGCAGGTTTAATCTCACTCTGTTTTCTTTACTGTGGTCTTTTCTTAAGATCTAAGATTGTGGTTCAACGTGGCTGTTGTTTCCCTATCTGTATTGCTTACTTTGCTGGGAGCAGTGGGACAAGCCTAAACTGGAGAGACCTATGTCTACAGGCTCTGAGATGCTCCTTAGCTCCTGACTTGCTTTCTCTTAAACAGTAGCTATGCTCTTACTGCTTTCTGGTAGTAAGCTGATGTAATGTTCTCTATATTTGCTGTTAGAGCATATTGTTTCTAGGTGTGGCACAACAGAGCTATTCTATACATTATTGGAGCTTAGTTGGAAGCTAGCTGTGCTATTACAGCAGGAAGGTGATTTTGTTACTACTTGGTTGGAGAATGCTTGAGGGGAGGACTATATATTTCTCTCCTTCATTTCTTTTGCAACTCACTGTAGCAAAATAAATTTTACGTGGAGTGTGTGTTTATGTATATACATTTTTTAATGTATAATAAATGACCTTCTTAAATAACTTGCAGTTTCAAGTTAAAATGGTTGTGATCAGCTGATGTGTTTATACTGCTCCACTGAGCTAAATAAGAGTGCATTGATGGCTATAGAAAATAAAATTTTGTTTTTCAATGAACAGTGAGTGACTGGGAGACAATTGCTACAGGGATGGTCCAGACAGTCTCAGTTATTAGTTGTTACTAGCTGTGTCTGGACTTACGTGAGAGGAGGAAAAATAAATAAATAGGAAAGATACTGAAATAGTATCATAGCAATTCCCAGAAAATGCAGACTTTTCTTGTATAAACATACTGCCACAGTGTTAATGCAGTATGCTCAGTGCCTTACTAAGGGTGATTCCTTATGCTAGTACTTTTAATGTATCTTGATTTTTTAAAAAGGGACTTAAGAGTGTAACATCATGATCAATCTGCCCTGGCAACAAAATACTGTTGTATCCAAAGTGTCCTTGGTTGCCAAGGAAGATAAATTATTATTATACAGTTTTATGTAATATGATCAACTGTTAATTCCATAACTTTAATACTCATTCTGCTGCATCAACAGTTGAATAAAAGTTTCAACTGATATCAATAGATAGCCTTTGGTTGTTTATAATATATGGCAACAGATTTCTCATACTGGGCAGCCAGCCCTTGCTGGTTTGTCCAAATCTTGTCCCAAGCCAACCAGAGATTTTCTGCACCATGTCTTCATAGCTCTACAGTATCTGCTTGGGCTAGCTTCAATAACAGCAGAAATTAGTCCTGTGCCGTTTATTAAAATCTTCAAGGCAAGTGGTTAGAATTACTTCTAGAGCAGGTGGAGCCTAGCATGACATAAAATCCTTTGCATTTAAATCTCATCTGCTCAATAGACTTCAGAGTGATGACGAAAGTGTGAGGCCCATTGTTATTTCTTCTGTGCCTGTGACTGCTCTGGCACGGCATGCTGTACCAGCTGGAGAGGGAGCTGGTTAATGGAACCTAAAACGTTCTTCACTGCTCTGCAGCAAATGGCAGGAATCCTGCCACACTTCTATTTATTTATCCAGGTAAGTGAGAAACATTGCTGTAGTATTCAGCAAGACCCCATAGGGGCAGGTAAGCTTACCTGACCAAATAGAGATGAAGCACTGGGGCCTCCCTTAGCTTACTTAAGATGTGGAGAGTCAAAACTCTGCTTTAGACTTCATCTTCAGTCCTGCAGCACCAAACTCACTCCATTTGGATACTTAGCCTTAATGATGTTAGAGGCTAATATATTCACAAAGGAACATTTAAGCTGGACCATGCTTGTCGTCTGCCTCTGAAAGTCAGGGCAGTTGATGGAAACCTGGCACAGGCTCTGGTTTCTGGCCATCTCCCTGTGCCCAGGTGGATTATTGGGCAAACAACTGTTAATCTTTGATTTTCACAGGCTGACACATTTATTCCTGCTTATTATTAAACTCGTCCTGTAACACATTTTGCCCTCAGGCGTTGAACTTGAAAAAGCCCTCTACCATTTCCAGTGCAATTCATTCCCATGTGCATCAGAGTGGGTGGGAGGAGGATGTGCCCATTTTATTTATACTGCTGATAACTACCGTCTTACACTCTGCTTAGTGAGTGCAGCGCATGGGGAGGTGGGCATGCTTTTAGGATTATCAAGATAAAATCTGAATGTTTTCTGGCTAACTTTAACAAAGACCAGCCATCTGAGCCCACTGAACCAAGTTTGGACATGCCTTGTTTCATGCAGCCCAGTGAGAGTCTGGGAGACAATTGCACAGGGAACATCAGAGCAGTCTTCTGTCCTTCCGAAAATATAAGTGTATATTGAAATGAGAGAGGCTGACTATACCACTCCAACTGATACAAGCTAAAATTTTGGAGGTGGAAGGCTTTTATCATTAAATACCAGAAAATGCCATACAGCCATAACTGCATGAATGTCGTTCTCTTATTTTTAAGATTAATCTGATACTTTTTTGAGGGTTTTTGAGTGTTCACATCTCAGGGCACATTTTCTGTGGGCAGGCAGAAACACAGCACCTCATTTACCCGAAGTGGCTTTCTTTGGGCTAACTTGGGGATTCTCTGCAACTAACCTTTGATAAATGAATACCATGAAGCTCTTGCAATTCAATTCTGTTCCAGAAATGTCAGCTGTAATTTTCCATAGATTCAATGACCCTAAAGGATACTGCACCTTCTATGTGGTAAATAATTGATATATGTCTGATCAAGCAAATGGAGCAGGAAGATTTCTGTTGCATGACTCTTCAGGCTGCTGTATAGTTGGTCAGATTTTGGCAACGCTAAACCAATTAAAAAAATGTATAGTCACTACAAGCTCAAAAAAGTCATACATTCCATGTCTAAATGAAAATTAATTATACTCTCAGAATGAAGCAGTTCAGAGGGTTAATTTGCCATTGTGAGTCTTAAAATTCTAAAAAGCCAGTAGACCACAACAGTCTTAATAAGAAATTTAATTTTTCCTGACATGTATCTAGGCTTTGTTTGCATTATACACAAACAAATGTTGGAAAAATTAGCTTGCAGCTGATCTGAGTTCAGAATTGTTTCATACTGTATTCTTAATCCAGTAATGATAATTTAGTCCCTTAGTTTCTTAGTGTTTAGAGAAAAACTGAGATATTCATTTGCCTTTGCAATGTAAGAAGTATAAATAAGAGTTAGCAGATACTCCTCTGTAGATGTTCCTATTGCTATATCTACAATAGAAGTGTTAAACACTTTTGAGTGCCACAGTTTCATCACCTTTTCACTTACGTTCTGTCTTCAAGACGCATTGTAGAATTTAAACACAACACAGGAGGCCTCCAACATTGTAATGTCAGCAGCTAAATCTGGGAGAATTACTTCTACATTAAAAATTAGCACAGACTGAAATCATAGTATCAGGTGAACTGTCACCAGATTAAAATGCAGGACTGACAATTTAAAATACATGCTGTCTTGTCTGGAACTGGGTTCTGTTGGTCTTAGATCTTGTGGCACTTTGTTTAACAAACCTGTGAAAAATAAACATCAGTGTTTCTCAAACTCAATAGAAAATTATTATGTTCAATTTCAGCGCTTCCCAGAATGCCACTGTCAGTGCAGTGTGCATTATTAGCTGCTGTACGGATCTGAGGGATCTCCCTCAGGCCAATACTTCTTAATTCCCATACTGTGACTTCTGCACAGGACTGCTATACCTCTGCTCTAATACTCCAACACTGCAGATATATTGACTTCTTTATCTAAAAAAAGGTATTCTGGGTATATATGTGGTAATCTGAAAAATACAATGATGATGGCTATGAAAAGCCTTTGTAGTTTCTATCGTGAATTCAAAACAGTTCATTTAAAACCATTAGACTGCATGTAATGGAATTTTTGAGTAAACTTTATGTATTAATATAAAGTGCTGAATCCTACAATCCTTTTTCCTACTTCTACCTCATTATCATTTATCTGCAGTCATCACTAATACAGATCAATGTTATTTGGACTGAGAAAGCCCATTAAGAGCTATCCTCACAAAATACAGGGAAATGCTGTACCTATTCAGTTCTCATTTACACCACTGAAAATGTGGTAGTTGGAGCAAATGCTGTGATGACAACTTGGAAAAATTATTCAATTTAATAACAAAAACATTATGATCCAAAGATTTTTGTTTGCTTACATGAAGTCTATGCTTTGTCAGCTATTTATGTTCTACATTGTTATATGAGTTATTTCTGAAGCAATAA